GTGATACATGCCGTTTTCTTTTTATTTTTATTTCCATATTTTTTTTTATCAATAATTCTTTATAAATTTTTGATAAAAAAATATAGTATATCTTGAACATTGATTATATCACTGTAGTAGTTTTTAATAATACAATAATAGGGTATTATATTTGGTTAATTTCAAAATAACTGATATTTATTTTTCCATGTTTCAGTGACCTATAATAGGAGTTTTAAAGTTACTGATACATAAATTATTTGATTATAATTAATTACAATTTATCTTCACCATAAATTTTATTAAAATCTGTTCAGACGTTTAGTCGCGAATAGGTTATAAACAAACAGACAAAAATACTTAGCATTGATATAATAATAGATATAAAAAAGTATCAATACAACAGTACTTATTCCATTTACATTACAAGTATCTCTTGGTCGTAGAGTAATTTTTTATATAGCCTACAGTCTATACATAGAGAATATTCAAAATCGGATAAATAATAGCCTAGATAACTCCGAACATCCAAACTCACAAACTTTACCTGTTTATAATGTTAGTATAGACAATAAGATTGATTAAACAAAACTTGCCATATCTTTTTCCTCGTCAAGACCCACTGAACACTGACCTTTACATCACCCATCAACGTCGAAGGATCGTGAATTATTGGAGTTTAACATTAACAATAGCGGGCACGGATTCGAACCCGTTATACTGTTCTCAGCGGGCACCGGTGACGCCCCCGAAATTTAAATTAAATTTAACCGTGTCAAAAGTCAATCTGACCTAAATCTATCTCGTCTTATTATCAAGTGTAATTCTTTATATGAGTATATAATTAATACGTCAATAGTTTTTATTATCTACTAAGTTGCACTCGTGCTATATAGCGCATGTTTAGTCGTCTAAAAAATGTAGGCAAGTGCAATGGTAAAATCCATCTAGTATTTATTCAGTTTATTCATTGCTAGTGCCAAGCACCGTTGTTTAAGTATTCTGAAGTTTTCTATATTTACGGCGCAATTTTCTGAAAATTTCCATCCATAATAATAATAATAAATAATCTCTGTACAATTCACACAGCGCCATCTAGATCCAAATTAAGCTACCTAAAGCTTGTGTTATGGGTACTTGACAACTGATACAAATACATAGATATGTTTTTTTTTTTTTCGTAAATACATACATATTATACATAGAAAATACCCAGACCGATACAAACAATCATACTCATGAATACAAATGTTTGTGCCGTGCGAGGAATCGAACCCGCGACCATCGGACGTAAAGCGGTCTGCTTGACCGCTAGACCACCGAGGTCGTCAAATCCATATTAGGAAACAATAAAAAAAAAGATGAATGAAATCCATTTACTCATTCTCAAGTTTTATCTTATGTCATACTGCCGCCGGATGGATCCCCATGGGTGTAATTATAATAATATTCGCAATTTTAATTAATGATAATTGAATTTTTATTTTATTTTAACACAGCACGAGGTACTCACTAATAATATATCATTCTATAGGTGAAAGAATTATTGAATTAACCTATTTCAATAATTTTAAGTATTTGAGTTGGTCTTTTACAAACACACAATCAAATATTTCCTCTTTAAACTTACTACTTACTTATTCTTAGTGTATATGTATATATACCTGTGTTTATGTTGTAATTTTTATGTCATTTGAAACGCCAGCAAGCTAATAGCGCACCTGCTAGTAATCGGTAACCGTTGTCATAAATACGAATAGTGCTATAGACATAACGTTCTCATATGACGCCCGTGATACCATTCCAGAGGACAAATTACAGGAAAAAACACATGACATCACAAATTAACCTAAGTTTTTGCGTTTATTTAAATTAAATAATTTTAGCACTGAACTCCTAATTGCTAGATGTCAATAAAATAGTGTATAGATAGTGTTATAACTTTATGTTTAAATTTTAAACTTTATTTTAAGTTTTAAATTTTATGCTTTACTTTTTATTATTGTTGCGGTTTGTTTATTATTACAATAATTATTTCTTTTTATAATACATTTTTAAAAAAGTGTTGTTTTGTTTTCTATTTATTTATTTTATTATAGCCTTTCTGATTTCAATTGATTTCTTATTGATCAAATTGTGCAATATTGTCGCCGCTAAAGTATTCCTTTTAGGCCACTCCAGTACCTAAGACGTTTGGTTTTGATCACCAATTAATATGTTAGCTTCTTCGAGCTACTTTAACTTTCATTGCGAATTCTATCACTTGTATTCTCTGAGCATAGCTGTCTTTACAGCACAGCCTTCTTCATAAAGATTTTGTATCTTTACCATTACATTGTGTTCTGTATCTGGTAATTTTTTACAACATAAGCTGCTGCTAACCCAGCTGATTAGCTACGATAAGTTGACAGGACAATTAAAAGTAGTAATAAAAATTAATGTCCGTAAGTGACCAAAACTCTCCTACATGAATACTTTCAATTTGACAATTGTCAGTGGTAAAAACTTTTACTTAATAATAAACATCATAAAACCTTATAATGCTACCATTCATTTCATTGTTGTCTAAAAATGAATTGTGTCGTGGTTTTCATTTTAAGATTAATATGTGAGATAACGTACACCACAAATGCCGCCGTACGTTTAGCCACAAATGGAGGAAAATACAATAACATTTAATCTAGCAACAATTTAAGTCCAGGTACTGTAACGGTGATTTTATCACAGAGTACCTTACATGTAGAACCACACAATGTAACAAAGATTTTTCAAATTAATATATTAATTTATTATTTACATAACCTAATTGTACAACTAAGAACCTAAAATTAAAAAGCTTAAAAAAATATAATATGATGACTAAAATATATTATTAAAAGGGGTCCCTTTAGGCAACGTTCAGAAAATACTGGCAGCGTTCCCTCTTACTTAATAAAATACATACCATTTTTACATACCACTGGTGCCTATGATCGATCAATTGACACACGATAAAAATTGTAACTCTTGTCGGCCTTTAAAATTGATTGTTATTTTTAAAATAAGACCTAAAGTAATTGCATTCGTATGAATTCGGGGCAAAAGGTTAGCATATAATAAATATATATATGTAAGTATCGTAGGACACAATTTCTAAATACATTGATACTCAGCACTTAATATAGAGAAATAATGAAAACAATGCTAGAAGCATATCAAATAATTCTAATATGTAATTTGAATAATCTTTTAATAATGATATTTTAAAAGATTATTTAATTAATCTTTTAAAATATCATAATTCCTATCTCATCTATACACATACATGTCTGGATGCCTGGACCTCTGCCAATAAGTCATGTTATCTGAAATGATGCAACTTAAATACCTGATCGTTAAAAGACTTTGTAGGAAGGTGTAACTAGGATAGTATTAATACATAAAAGCTTGAGTTGCAGAAATCTAAATCCACATTTTATATAAGAATTTAGCAAAGCGATGTGTAGAGATAAAATTATAAACCAAATATTTAAATTAATAAAATTAAATGATAGACTAGTTTTTATCCCAATACTCCCTGTATTGGGATAAAGCTACTAGGGAACTTTTTGGGTATTAAATTATAAGAACAAACACAATTATTACCGCATGATGAATTGTAACAACAATTATTACCGGATTACCTATTAAAATATAAATCTAAATAAGTGTACTGTAACTACATAAATCTCACACATTTATAACAAGGTATTAAGAGAACCAAAAACCAGGGTAAGTATATACATCAAACGAATTAATAGTGTGGTTGTATCAGATCATTAAGGTAAGGAAAGACTATTTTTAGCATTCAGATATCTCTGCCTACTTGGTAAGAAACCTAGTTGCAATTGACAGATAGGCAAACGGAAATTATTAATTAATGATTAGACCAGAAACTGTCTATTTGAGTTAATAATTAAATTAAATTATTTCAAAAGAAATTGAATAACTCTGGATGACTCTTTATTACGAATTCATGTTATTGGGTAGTTTGTATTCACACAAACTCTTAAAGTGTAAATGGTATATTTTATTTTTCATACCTATTCTTCTTAGCTAAAACTGCATTCCAAAGAGCAGCAGTATGTTAAAATATACTATAGTATTCAAAAGGGCTTATATAAAACTTATTTGTAGAATTCTAATAGTAACCATCTAGTTCTAAACTAAGCAGAGTTTATACTATTGTTATTAGAAAATATTAATTCCTTTATATTTCAAATATTCATAGAGAAGTATATTGTCTATATTTGTATATAATCAGGAATATAAATTTTGTATTGTGCTGGAAATGAATCTGAGATCACAGAAAGTAAGGTGTGCTTAATATAAAACACTGTGATCGTCAAATCATAATATGCTTAGATATAAAGGCAACTTTTAAAACACTTTTATTCTTGCCCACAGCAATATTTTACCGTATCATGCTTCCATATATTAAATGCATGGCGTATATTTTAAATTTATAGGTAGGTACATGTCAGTACATGAAGGTGCAATTTCTATGAATATAAATGTAAGAAATGAGGCCAGATGTATATCGGAACTTGTTTTGACTGGGACTGTTTTGATTTAAAAGCTTTCGTAACTTTTGGTATTAGAGATTATCGTATTGTCCCTTTGAGTTTATTATATATATAGATCCGAACTTCGCATGATGACTAATATTGTATTCATCTCGAATTTTTATGAGAATAAAGTCCGACATTTATTGTTCGCTTCTGAAATATGGAGAGAGAGGTACGTACGCAGATAAACTTTTACTCTCAACCTTTGGTAAAAAAAATGTGGCTTTCGTAGATAAAATATCTTAGTTTATATATAAAAAAATATATACTTTTCTATAAAAATAGTTTGGTTGACAGAAACTACTTACATGTAATTTTTGTTGGCTTGTCAATATTTTTCTTTTATTTTTTTTATTATATAAAATTTCCAAAATTTAAGAAACAAACTGTAAAATATGTTAATACTTATGATTAATAATATCATCAAAAACTTACTCGAAAATATATTCCCAATTCACTCGCGGGGTACACACTACACACGACTCGAAAACTTTCGACGTCAGTTTACCGTACGTCAAGTTGCGGCTCACGATTGTCACGACGGACGTGCGTCCTTCTCCGCGGACGCAGATCTACTGGGTGCGGACCATTCGATCGTTCAACTAATATATATCGTATACTAGTTTTCATCGTCTTTCACTGGTTTAAGCTACGTACGATTTTCTGGGTTAATGAGGAGCCTGCAGCCGCGGTGCGTTTTCTAAGCAGTTTCGAATTGACGCGCGTTGGGTGCCGAGAGCAGTGCTCCTCAGATGTTATGCTATACTGGTACATTCGTAAACACGCAGATTTCTTATTCATCGTTTATTTTCTTAAACTATACAAATTATATATGTAAACTAAAAAACTGACGGTCTATATCTTTAGCGGTTTAGCAGATCGCCTTAATTCCGATGGCCGCAAGTTCGATTCTTCGCTTGATACTAATTTGTAATTGTTTGTATTCTATATCTACGTGATTTCTAACCATATTATATTAAAACGCATATAAGTAAGTGTTTTTCTCAAATTTTTACTAATTATATCACCTTTAGATCTAAATTACGATATTTATAAATTATTGAGGCTCAACATGATCAATAATGGTTATTCATAAATTTGGAATACAAACAAATGACGGCACACTCGATAGTAATTGGTAATCATTACTTATATACATGAACAGAGCCTCATCATGCGTTGGCAATGCATGAGGTGTAGTTTCCAGAGGAATAAGATGTCATATTTTGTAATTTTCCTAGTAAAGCGCACCCTTTAAAGCAAGTAAAATTACTCCCGGTTGAAATAGTTGAGACAAAGTACCCCAAACGCACTTCGCTTTGATATACGCAGACAACTTTATTCAAACCTTACATCGATAGATAGTTATGTAATTCAAGTACTTAATTATAATTAAACTCACCGTTAATACGATAACAGAACTCCTAGCACTTTATGTTGAGCTATTCTGGAAAGATTTTTAAAGTTTCTATTAAATTTTCATTCATCTATAGAAAATCACATTATTACCTAATTATATAAGCTACATTATATGTTCAACAACATATGAGATCTCTACAGTAATTGTAGCTGTAAAAACAGGGCAGATTCGGAAAGCAGACTCATTAAAAGAAGACTAAGCAAGAAACTCACGTGTTGCTCTTTTATATAAATGTTGTTCAGCAATATTTTGTGTCAATACAAATAGTAAGATGGACAAAAGTTAAACAATATAATAAATGAAATGAAAAATTAAATAAATTAGTCATAGTTATCAGAGCAGACCTTACAAGCAGCACCCGTTCATAACTATAGCGGATGAGTCCGACACCACTGCGCTCTACCATATTTTAGGGCTCTCAATGAGCCATCCCACCACGCCACCACCTGTCCGGACATTTAAATAAGCATTTTAGCAGTCATATTTTTGTACTGACTGTAATTCTTCTAGATCAAGACACAGCTATTTCAAGCAGGTTAAGGAAAAAGTTGAAGTCGTGGCGTATCAATAACTAAAAAAATTTATGGAAGATCATGTAAGGTGGCAAGGGATCCACCGACAAGAGTTAAACTCTTAAATTATGAATAAATGAATTAGTAGTTCTTTGTTTATTATATGTACGAAGTTTTATATTATTAATAATTATTTTCTTATTCATATAATCGAATTTGATACCCACAACTATTACGACTTAGTTCTACAAAGCACATAACAGTTATCTGTACCATAGTACACAGGCGTCTGCGTGGGTACCTCTGTCTCGCCTATTTCTGTCAACAAGCAGCGTGATCTATAAACTGTGATTTGGTGAGATATGGCAGTGAAATAAATGTACAAGGTTTACTGATACCTTAAGCTGTAAAATCATGCCGTACACTAGGTGTCACATGCCGATGTAACTTGCGTGTTACTCATGTATGTATATTAGAGGTTATGGAGTGCCCTCTGCATTCTTTTTTTCTCCCTAAAAATTGCAAAACCAAGCTGCGACATTAGTTGTAATTTGAATTTAGTAGTAGTTTGGAAAAGTTTAAAAACCAGCTTTACTTTATTTGACTGTAAATGGTTGTATGCCCCAGGGTCATTTGATATTTTGATTTTTGATTATATACAAACTTACATCTCATGACACAAAGATAAGATGAGGCGTATAAGAGGCATAACAACTTATTTCTCAGGAATGGTATCATGGGTGGTACTTGACAACGTGATATTCGTGTACCTACTCGTTTATATATAAGCGATAGTTACTACTTACCAACAGACAAGCCATCAATTTGTTCGCCAATCCAATTCATAAAAATGCATTGAAAATATTATTTCGCTTTCATTCACTCGTTCTTGTTAATTCCATGTCTGCTTTTACGAAATCCAAAAAACCGTTAAATAAATCAATTATACTATTTTACTAATCTTACATTAATATTCGAAATGTCAGCCATCAACATAACTGCGAACATGAGAAACAAATTATACTATATTTATCGTGAAAGTTAACTACTAGGAATTCTTACGAAATTTTCAATTGAGTTGTTTTGAATTATACATCTATATTATAGTCAAAGTTTATGTCTATACATTGATATTTTAGCGATTCTTTAAATAAACAATTTAAATTTATTTAGCAAAGTACATTTATACAAAGTTGTCTGCCTACTAAGAATCTTGCTATAACAGTCAGTTAGAATGGTCAGATACGACAGGGAAATTACAATGTATAATGGCACAATTGAACATGAATGGCAATTACGGTAAGAGTCCACCTAATATATACACGAAGCACCTTATAAACATGCTGTCATATCATACATACGGGCAATATATTGAATGGCATACGTCAGAACTTATGTCGCGAGTGCCATGCCTCTTGTCCTGCAATTACATTGCCATATTCACTCTTTTAACCATAATATTACTTATACAATAATATGTTTGACGGTTAAAATGGGCATATGCTCCCGCAGACATACTGAACAATCTAATTCTACACACGAAGATAAATTTTCCCATAATTCTCATATGTATGGAGAGTGAGTGAATCCGCGAACAAAGTTGCAGGAAATAAATAGCTAGTAATAAATTAATTTGTGGCCGGAAATTGATCGTGGTAATTATTTGTCTATCTACGGTGAGACATCGATAAACTACACTATCGACAAAGACATGGATCGCAGAAATATTATCTTGAATGGCGAGTATGGTAATATTTTTGTTGAAATACTATTAGAGTAACTTATCTTCCTTTTTCTATTTATGTACCTAAATAAAAATATTCTTTAATCAATTATAGTGTATGAATGGTGCATCCGACTGCGCTAACGGTAAACGCTGGCGGGGCGCCAGTGTAAGATGATGGAACGAGGATGAAGTCTGGTCAGTTAGCACATCATGGCGCATTCACCAAGGATTGAACCACGAAGGGAGAACCGTGTCAAGGAGTCATAGAGTCCTATGGTAATGAACCATTCTCCCTATAAAATGAATTATCGAATGTATATAAAAACTTTTGTTTACAATAGCACCTATATAACTAATTTTGGTTGTAGTCATAATTGTTAGGACAAGGTATGTATGAAAGAAATCGTTATGTAAATTATTGAATAATCATTGAAATCATTAAAAAAAAGATCAGTTGGTCAGTTTTATTATAACCAAGATTAGCTAATGCAAAAAAGGTAAAAGTAATCTAAATCTATAATAAAAATGGATATGCAACAAAATGGCTCCACTCAGGGCAGCAAAAGTCAAGCGCTTAAATAGGATAGAAAATGGAAACACACTATACTTGATTTAAAAATAAATGGAAGTAAAATAATAAATAAGTATGATGTCATTAAAGCCCAAATTATATATCAACAGGCGAGGGTTCTAATTAGATTAAACACGTGAACTTTATTTTACGTCAGCTTCATAGCAAGCAAGAAGAGAGACGGCAGTAAAGTTAAAGGGTCGTGTCTTGTTATTTTACTACCGTAACCGTAGGTCCCAGACATGATATGACAACAGTCTTCAACAGTCTTGAAATGACAACGCAAGAGATGTATGGCGAATATCACATAATTACTATACTTATGTATATGTATATAGGCGATAGTAATCAATTACCATCAGGTGGGCCGTAAGCTTGTTAACCGTTCAAGAATAGAATAGAATAGAAAATCATTTATTCAAATAAACTTACATTGTTAACTTGCATCTACTGCTCGTTCGGAAAGCTGTCTCATCACAAGAAGAAGGAGAAAGAAACTTGCGTGTTGCTGTTTTAAATTATTTTATTCGTACTTTACATTTTTAAGTTAAAGTGTGTGAATACAAACTACTACATAATTGACACTAATTCAATTAAATAATCAAATAGAAAAAATATTGAATATGCAAACAACTGGTTAAATAATGAATAAGAGGAAATCAGTCATAGTGATTAGAACAGACCAGTCCGTATAAGCAGCACCCGTTCATGAGTATGACGGATAAGCCAGCCATCACTGCATTCGACCATATTTCAGGGAGCCCAAAGATGAATGGAATTCCTGTCCCATAATAAATAAAAAAACTTCTTTTAACTTAACTCGGAACATCAAATTGAATAATAAGTTTATTTCAATGATAATGATAATAGTCTTCATTCACAAAACAATGTATCACACCATCGTGATATTAACCACTGGCTTTGAACTTCATAACCCTGCTTCTCGAAACACAGAGTAACAAAGAGTACATGTACATATATCTACGTGATTATCATTACTAAGTGAAATACTGAGCTGTAGATAATAAACATACCGACAGTCCATTAATTCCATTAATTATTTACAGTACGGTGACCCTACTCAGAACCAGTTATAATTAACCAATTCAACTAACTTCGTTGTAATCGATTAAGGAGAGAAAAAACAACATGATCTTACATCTCAATCACAGTATTTCAAGTAGTTTATGTTATTCCATTAAATTAAATAAAAATAGAGGCCCGATCCCTACTTCGCACGGGTATTTAACTGAAATTAAAAAATATATAAATGTTAACATACCTACACATATATAACCATCACGATATATATATATATATATATATGTCTTCTAAAAAACTG